TGTTAGGTCTGGAATTAATTGATTCAGTCTGCTTAAACATGCTCCTCTCCCTTAAATTGAGGGGGGCCTGATTGAAAGCCCACTGAAGTCAATAGAAAGACTCCCATTGACCGCTGTAGCCTTTGGATCAGGTCTTTAGATGTTGAGCTACCACAAGTCCTGTTGACTACAGTGGAAGCTTTTGGATGTTCATTACTTCTTCGGGTCAGGTCCTCCCATCAGAAGAAGACAACATTACTGTTTTGTTGTTAGCATTTCCTTTCCCCCTTCTATAGTGGTGGGGCTTTCATGTCTATTGTTAAATAGCTTTTTTACTCAAATTAAAGCAAAATAGACTTTCTTGGTGTATGATTGCCTAGTGTTTGAGGCTGTTGTTTCTTTAATAGCTATCCATACTTGTATGTTATTTATAGGTACATACAAACAGTTTTTTTAGATATTTGCACTTAAAGTCAAATCCTGGTCCTATTGAAGCCAATGGTTTTGCCTTTGAGATTGGGACTTAAAGCATATCTGTGCAAGTACTGAATTGATTTAATATGCCAGCAGGGCATATTGTCAAATTCCTGTTGCCATTCTTTAAGGAGAGATAAAGGACCAGATGCTTTTCAGCTGCCTCTCAAACAGAAAAGAGGTCATGGTTGGTAGCCTTGGAAAAAATGGAGATGCCAATAAAAAGAATTGAAAGTGGCATCTCCATTCATTTTGATGGCAGGAGCCCCACTGTCTCTCCCATTTTAGGGATGTAAATTAACAATTTGAGAAGAGTGTACCCTGTGGAACAATCTTAATAGGGACCAAGTAGAATGCCTGTAAACACTGAGTTGATTTGAAATGTAAATACCCCAAGTAACACAGCAATTTGTCAAACAAAGGATTACCGATAGCTGTCCCAAAGAGCTACCAAAAGCGAGGAACACAAGAAATAAGGGCAATAAGTCATCTTTACTCTATAAGCCCAGGGCAATAAAAACACATGAATAAAGGCAGGCGGGGTGGTCAATTTAACTTTCTTTATGCGCCATTTTCATTTCCAAAGAATATAATTGAATAAGTATTAGATTGCTGCCATTGAATTGAATGAGATTCTGTGTTCTTTTCATTTTCATGTCAACTGTGCTATATTTATGTACACACAGAAGACTATGTTAAAAATTATGTATGGGTTTTGATTTAGGATGACTAAAACAAGGCAATCCATTCAAATTGCATTATGCTTGCTTGCAGCTGTCAATGAATGTAGTGCCACTCTCCTGAGCTGAACCCCATTGTTAGAACACTGTGTGTCCTGCAATAACAAAGCAAAGTTAGAATGAACTAGAGTCCTTTCCTAAATACTACTAGTGTCAAGCATTGCTGTTTGTGTGCAGGTTTCACAGCCAGATGTGGGATTTTAATTGCCCTGCAAATTCAGCTCCCTATCCGAATCCTCTAGTGATTAGAGGTTTGTCTGGCCTTTTATAGTTTTGAATAGTGCATTTTGTGTGGAGGCCTTCCTTTCACACTGGATCAGCTACTGGAGCAATTAGTCTCATGAGAGGAGGTGGTGATCATGCGAATGGAGATTTCTGTCTGGATTCACTTCTGTCTTCAAAATTTAAGCATTCATCTTTTTAAAATAAAGTCAGCCTTTTCTGTTTGTGTAGATATCCTTCCAAACATAAACAAAAGTGGTGCTGGAGGTGCTGAACGTAGGTGAACAATGGTGTGCATGTTTTTGCAAGTGGACTTGGCCTTCTACGTTTCAAAAATGTAGGCCAAGATTTTCAGTAGTGACCAGTGCCTCTGTCCTGAGACACCTTAAATAGGCCTGATTTTCAGACAGCAGGTGCAGAGCCTTTAAACATGTTTCAAGCAGGGCATCCAAAATCACTTCCCATTCTTTAAAATTTTTGCCTTAGCTCTCGGTTTCAACTATTATAGAGCTGAATATTTTAGCAGTAACACTCAGCTATTCTGGTAATGTGAACAGAACCTGGGTACAGTAGAAGCACTTCTCTGCATCCCTGTCATAAATATAAAGGGAAGGGTAACCACCTTTCTGTATACAGTGCTATAAAATCCCTCCTGGCCAGAGGCAACATCCTGTTACCTGTAAAAGGTTAAGAAGCTCAGCTAACCTGGCTGGCACCTGACCCAAAGGACCAACAAGGGAACAAGATACTTTCAAATCTTGGGAGGGGCGGGAGGCTTTTGTTTGTGCTCTTTGTTTACGTGGTGGTTCTCTGTTGGGACTGAGAGAGGCCAGACAGAAATCCATCTTCTCCATCCCATCCTAATCCAAGTCTCCAATATTGCAACCAGTATAGGTAAGCCAGGCAAGGCGGATTGTTTATCTTTTGTTTTATGTGAATTTTCCCTGTGTCAAGAGGGAGGTTTATTCCTGTTTTCTGTAACTTTAAGGTTTTGCCCAGAGAGGGATCCTTTGTATTTTGAATCTGAATACCCTGTAAATTATTTTCCATCCTGATTTTACAGCAGTGATTCTTTTACCTTTTCTTTAATTAAAATTGTTCTTTTAAGAACCGGATTGATTTTTCATTGTTCTTAAGATCCAAGGGTTTGGGTCTGTGTTCACCTGTACAAATTGGTGAGGATTATTATCCAGCCTTCCCCAGGAAAGGGGGTGTAGGGCTTGGGGGGATGTTTTGGGGAAAGATGTCTCCAAGTGGGCTCTTTCCCTGTTCTTTGTTTAAAATGCTTGGTGGTGGCAGCATGCTGTTCAAGGCCAAGGCAAAGCTTGTACCTTGGAGAAGTTTTTAACCTAAACTGGTAAGAATAAGCTTAGGGGGTCTTTCATGCAGGTCCCCACATCTGTACCCTAGAGTTCAGAGTGGGGAAGGAACCCTGACAATCCCCAACTCTGCAGTCTAACCCAACTTGTCGTCCTTACTCAGGCGAAACTTCAACTGAACTCGTAGAACCAAATTCTGCTCTGTTACCTTGTGCTATTCCATTAAGGTAAATGACAATAGCAAGAATTTTCAGGAGTTAAATCCTTTACCAGATGGAGCCCCATGTATTCCCACCAGTATGTCGCAGACATACTGACAGTGGGCCGCCTCTGGATAATTTAACACCTGAACTTCCTTGTTATTGTTTGACCAAGGGCTTTGTGTAGCTTGCTGAACTGAGTGCAAGTTTAAAGGGGTGTGAATTTAAGTCCTAAGAGATTGTGGGTCTCTAGAAATGGTCTGACCAAAAGGATTTTAATATTGAATAAAAAGTCAAAGGAAAAGTCAGTGTATAAAGAGAAGGATGAATAGTTAGAAAAACCATCAAATTAGAAAAGATTGTCAAGAAAACATGATGCATGTAGAACTTCTATCCTTGCCAACCTCTACCACCCAGGACTCATAAACACATGTTTCAAATCTTCATTGTAGAGTTTTTTCCCCCAGCTAGCGGGGATAAGAGTATTGATCTTCAAGTGTTTCCTTGAACTTGAGTGTTTAATATTTAATACTTATATAACAGTGTGATAGAAATGAGAGTTGGAAAAACCATATTGGGTCACCACCTCTCTGCTAATTTAAATAACAAGCCCTTTCTCTAATCTGCCTAATTTTGTAGAGGACATGCTTACTATCTGGCTGACCCCTTTCTTTTTCTAAGTTGCTGTTGTTTTGTATATGTTCAATGTTGCCATCGGATATGGGATCAGACTCTTTCATCAGAGAAAGAAGAGTCTCCTGACTTTGTGCTATAGTACAAAATGGGATACAAGATAATGTATCAATCATTTGTTATCTACTCTTTTATTATGCTTTGTGTATTTGCCTGAAATGCTGTGGACTTTTGCTCTCTATCCTGGGATCTAGCTGAGCAAGCATTATTCCCATTTTTCCATGTTCTTGTTACAAGTAGGGAATTTATAGATATAGTTGGAGATATGAGATAGCATTCATTGTAGAATATCACTTTGTATAAATTCTGTCAGTTACCTTCTTCCAGTGTGAAATAAATCATTGTTTATCGGGGTGGGGGGTCATTTCACAAAACATTTGTTCAGGTTAAATGAAACCGTTTTTATTCAAGCTTGTTTCTAATTTTTTTTTTTTAAAAAAAAGACAATCTAAATTAATGACATGGAGCAGCAGACTTGTCATTTATGATCCTGCTTACAAATGAAACTGTCCCTTTATTGAGCACAGCAATATTATCTAGAAAACATTTTTAAAAACCCTGCACTTTTCTTTTATCCAGAAAAATGACAGTTCCAGCCTTTTGCTGTCCCCTGTACTTTTTTTCTTTTAATTGTTACTGTGTGTGAGAGATTGTGCTTGTTGTAAATGACTGAAGCATCATGGCATTCTTTTACTTTCAACTGTGGACTGGAGCACTGTGTTCAGGACTATAGATGAGCTCTGCATGTTGTATGGATCTGGTGGTGAATGAAGATCTCTTCAGTGAGCTGTAGCTCACGAAAGCTCATGCTCAAATAAATTGGTTAGTCTCTAAGGTGCCACAAGTCCTCCTGTTCTTTTTGTGAATATGTGCAGTGTTACTGATGTGATTTTGTGACCGACTCCCAAACAGAGCTGGTTGATGTACTCTGAATTTTTATTTGTCAATGAATTTTTTGTCAAAACTCTGACAAAAAAAAAAAGTGAGGTTTTGCAAAAATGTTAAATTTTCAACATTTCTAGTCCCAAGCATTTTGTGTGTAGTATTGTACAGGCTATTCTGATGCACACCATAGATAGAGCATTATGGGACAGATCCTTATTTAAATTATGCCACTGGGAATCATGAATAACTCCAATGGTTTCAACTGAATTATTCCAGATTTACATGTAAATGTATAACTTAAAGAATTGTGATAAATTCATGTAGTCAAAGGTACTTAGTATAAATTTACAGTATACATCTGACAGATTCTTTCAAGAAATACCTGTTTGGTTTCTAGCTTGTTCATCTAATACAAGTGTTTTGATCACCACAGGACCGTTTATTTATTTTAAAGTTGGAGCTTGTATAAACTCTTTATTTCCTTTTAGGTGAAAGAAGAGGAACAATCAGCCAATCACACTGTAATGATTCAAGAGACTTTGCAGCAGGCATCAGTGGAGCTGGCTGAACAGCATCACCTGGTAGTCTCATCAGATGAAGTGGAGGGAATTGAGACCGTGACAGTATACACACAGGGTGGAGAGGCCTCTGAGTTCATAGTTTATGTGCAGGAAGCTATGCAGCCCGTAGAAGAACAGACAGTGGAACAATCTGTTCAGGAAATCTAGACAAAATATTTGTAAGCAATGGCTACACAGTACTGCTGAAGCCAAACTCTGAATTTTCAATGAAGACTTAAGGACCGATACGAGCTGGGTGCTAGCAAAACTTTCAGCTGCTCCCTAGTCCTCTGGTTATTGATCAGGCTGCTGGCATTTTGCCAATCAATAACACATTCTGTACATTGAGCCTCATATAGGCTGCTGAAAAAATGCTCATGTTTTTATATTTTCAAGAGGAAATATTCTGACACTTCTAAAAAATTATATCCTGCAAATCCTCAGAAATAGAGTTGGTGAGTTAAAAGCCATTTCCCCGCAGGGTAACAAAACAATATCTATGTCATCCTGCAACAAAAGGTAAGCCAGAATGCAAAAGAAAAGTGGGCTGGTGGAGACTTTGGATAGCTTCCTAGGAAAACTTCCAGGTTTTGGTTTTTTAGTTTGATACCTGCCTTTAGTTTCATATGCAGTTCAAGAAGATGGTACACCTGAACTCAGCCACATGGATTTAGAGGTCGTTCAACCCTTTTGCTGGGATTTTTTCAGCACCTTTATCTTTCGAGGGTGTTCTTTTCCCCACTCATGTTTACTCAGCTATGAATTGTCAAAGAAAGAAGTGCATTACGTGTACAGTAATGTTCCTATTCTAGATCTAGATGTGAAATTACAGCATGCAAGCCCGTGAACCTGCAAACATTTCCACACGTGCTTAACTTTATTCAGAAGAGTAGTCCCCTTCAAGTCAATGGGACTACTCACATGCATACAGCTAACCATCTGCTTGCGTGTTTGCAGAATCAGGGCCTAAATAGCTGTAAAAAAACACAGTACACACATGAAAAGCAGTTGTCTGAATTGTTGTCCCTGCTGAATTAGTGTAGATCTGGTGTAATGACTTTTTTTCAGCCACAAATTGGGATTTTTCTTTTCCTCCTGGAGCCTGGTGCATTGTTTCAAGGAATGAAAATTATACTCTCTTTCAAAGCAACAGTAATCAAATGAGAAATACAAAAATGGTTTGATGGTTTGGATTCTTTAAAGTTCTAGATGACTTTAATCGCACTTCTATGCTCTGCCTCCCCTTATGTACGGGGGACACAGCAACGAAGGAGAGCTGTGGCACCTCTAATAATTCTGCGCCATATTGTCCTCCCTTTGCTCACATTGAGTAGTGCCTTACTTCCTGAGTAATCCCATTTATTTCAGTGGAGACTAAGCTTGAGTGAGGGTGGCTGAATATTGGCCTTGGTAATTATAAAGAACTCATGTCTGATGGCAGGATACAACGTAATTATGGAACCGTATAAAAAGGCATTAAAGGGGCATAATAAATTCTGAAATGTTGGTGAAATGGGAAACTAGACCACTCCCACCTTCCAAATATACTAGAATAAAACTGCTACCAAAATTAGACTCCAGTCTTATAAATATATCGACACATGCTTCACCTTACATATGAATACTTTCACTGAAGTCAATGGGACTACTCATATGTAATGCATGTGCTTACGTGTTTGTAGGATTGTGGCCCTGGCAATCAAATTGAAACCCTTGAGCTGTAATCAGAAGACTGTCACAGACTGACACTGGTATATGCATGTGAGATGATGCTTTGGTACTGTGAGGTACTGCCAGCAATATACATTAATTCTGAATGGCAGTGAACTGGTTATGATTTAAATACTTAGATAATAAGAACTATCAGCATCTCCTTGAATAATGACTGTCAAGTACCATGCAGTGAAATCAAACCAGTGTGTCAACTCAGTGAAACATTGTTTTGTTTTAAATGGTCGAATACCCAGTATATGCCATAAAAGATTTTTGTTAATATGTATTAAAATAGACATGTTTGTAAATATACTGCTATGATGGTGTAAAAGAAGTTGTACAAAAAATATGAAGTGTATACTGAAAGAGTTTAAAGATTCTTAGTCACTACCTGTACATAGCTTCAGATTTTCATCTTGGGCCTTGCAGTTATTTCTGACAAAATGTTTTTGTATCTAAGCTATAAAACTATTAATAATGCAGAATTGTCATGTTCCATTTGTCACCGTGCCTCAGTGGGTCACAGCTGAGAATACCAGATTCAGGACAAACTGCTGACAAACAGGGCAGACTCACCCCAAACTGGGGGTTATTCTATCATGAGTTATATCAAGCCAGTAACAAAAGTAAACTTCTGTCTCACCACACTGGTTAACAAGAAGTCAAAAATGCAGTTTCCTTAGGCATTCTGGCCCCTATTTCACCACCCAGACTCTAGACTTTATGATAAGTAGTTACTGAAAACCAATTTCATCAAAGGGTTCTCCTGATCTCAAGAAATCAGTCACATACCCAGGTTAATATATAACTCATATCTTACCCAATAATCATGCTGCTGTCAAACCTTTAGTAGCTAAAATCTAAAGGTATATTAATAAAAGAAAAAGGAGAGTTAAAATGGTTAATAGATCCTATACATACATTAATGGCAATGCTCTTATAGCAGGTTTGTAGCGGTGACGGTATAGACTTCTGGCTTGTAAAGTCTCTGCTAACTTCCAAAAGGCTGGAAGATCCTCAGTCAATAGTCCAGTATCCTCCTTTTAGTTGTAAGTCCAGAGAATCAGAGCAGGAAAGAGGCAAAAGGGAGTTATTTCAGGGATCTTTTATACCCTTTGCCACGTACCTGGAAATGTACTGGTTCAAAACACAGCTCACTGCCTCTGTTTGTGGACAGTTACTGGCACAAGATGGAGTCCAGGTCACATGAGCATATCACATGTCCTTACATGGCTTGCTCACTCACTCACAGGGGGTAACCATTGGTGCCCTGGAGGCTGAGGCTTCAGCAGGAAGAGGTAGCTGGGCTATGGCCCATTGTGAGAGTGAAGTGTCTTTGATGGGTCCTCAAGCTTGAATAGTTTATTCACAATGGCTAAGTAGACTGGATATAAACTACCTTGTGGGTGTTACCCCCGGAGCAAACACATTTGAGATACAGGTATATAGTCAATATTCATAACTTCAGCTACAGTGGATTTAAACAGGATACATGGATTTAAACAGGATAATCTTATTTAGCAAATCATAACAATTCCATTGACACCTTACAGGACATACTTTGTACAAGATTTGTTACAATTGTCTTAACAGTAGCAATATCAAGGATACACATGGTCATATTTCAATCATACAGCATCACACCATTCTTTTGTTTAAATGCGGCTAATTTCTGTATGTGTTTTACAAGAAATGCTTCCTTTTTGCAGTAAGCTGGAGGGTGCTGCTTTGTGCCAATGGGGTAAAAAGTGTCTGCTCCTGCTCCTAATCCTTACTCAAGGAAGTAGCCACGGAAGTCAGTGTGACCACTTCCTTGAGTTAGAGGGATTCCCCACCTTTCTGGTTGGAAAGCAGCACTTGAATATGGCTGAGTCAGAGAGACAGATGGCACACTAAGTTAGCACCTGCACTTTGCTACTACTGTCCTGTCTCGTTTGCCCTAAATTATATTAAATTGCAAATGTTCAATGGCTGCTTCTGCCTGGGAGTCAGACCCTGACCTTGCCACTGAGGGATGCTCCTTATGACCCACATAACATTTGTTGGAATTTAGACCCAGATGCATTTCCAGTAGCTTCTTAATTTCAAGTGGAATAAAAATCCTACATTTTGGAGCTAGCTTTAGTTGCTGTGGACCCAATCTTGCAAACGCTTACACATGTGCTTCCCTTTAAGGACACAAGTAGTTCCCATTGACTTCATGTTTACAGGACTGAGGTCTGTCTGCTAGATAGTGTAACTGTACCAGCTACATGTGATGCTTGGTTAAACTAAACCTAATAAAAAATGTGTTTTTTCCTTAAGAAACATCTATCTAACTTTAAATGGAAGTAGCAATGAATTGCTTGGTAGCCATTTAACATAATATAAAAGGAACTGATGCATTTAGTATGTGGACTAGGGTAATCTATCAAATTAACGTGTATTGTGGTTTACAATTAAAATTCATTGTTAATTTGCAAATACGACTCTTGCCATTACATGAAGGGCAGGAAACACAGCTGCAAAAATATTTTTCTTTTTAAAAATTTTCAACTACTAACTTTCGTGGCCTATTTGCCATTAAAACCACATTTGGAGGAGCATCAACATCTTAAATGGTAACAGATTCACACTATTAGCATGAACCCTTTCTGAATTAATTAAGCCATTGCTTGCAGTAATATCTGGCTGTGGGAAAAAATGGAAAAACTAATTTGCCATGCATCACTTACAAATTCTTAAGCAAATTATTTTCAAATAGACTTTGCACATCTACTGTCCATGACACATTTTTTAAAAAATTCTAATATATCACTGTCAGGCAAACCTACAGCAATGTAAAGGTTGAATTGCTTTGTATTAGATAACAGTATTTGTACTTCCTGCAGCTTGGGGAAGGAAATTACTGTTTATCTTACTAAATATGATGAATTCTACAGCAGAAAAATAAATGGATAAATATGGGTAAAGGTTACACTATAACCTGAATGCAGCATGGCTAGTGTTTATTGACTTCTCTTCTCTCTTGTTTTAAAAACATTGTGCCTGAGTGTTTTCTTTACCTAGAATTCCAGTGTTCTTTGTAGATATATGTATAGATAATTTGGCCCTGAACTGAAGTTGTTGGAGTTGTATGGGATTTAATCTCAGGAAAGAATTTGACCTATCATAGGTATTACACACTGATTTGCACCACATTCTTCCCTCTCTAAATTACTGTATATTCTTATTTCTAGAATGTGCAGCATTATCATGGTGCTCTCATGATGTAAGTGCTTCCTTTTTAATGTAAACCATTGTACATGAAGTGAATGTCTCGAGATTTTTATTATAGAAACATGTTATTAAAAGGAAAGCAAATGGACAGAATTTCATATACGCAAGGCACCAGCTCTGAAAGACCTGGTGGGGATCAGGTCCCGAATGTCTTCCACCTGGTTCTCTGAACCTCAGAAAGGTAAGAATCCACTTCTTTCTCTAGCCAGTTCTTCCTCTGTGGTGTCCTAATCATCACCAACCTTTTCAGTGTGGGTTTGTGATAAATGAAGGGGTAGGGGAAGCTCCTTTTTATGAACACCTGGCCAGCCAGTTGCTATAAAATCCTTCTTAGTAGCTGTTCTCTAATTTCTCTACCTGTAAAGGGTTAAAAAGTCTCACTGTTATGCATAGGTAAAAGGAAGTGAGTGGGCACCTGGCCAAAAGAGCCAATGGGAAGGGTAGAACTTTTTCAAATTGAAAAAAGACTCCCCTATTGTCTGTCTGTCTGTCTGTTCTCCCGGGGAGAGGCGGACAGGGCAGCAGTTATGCTGTACGAAGCTTGGGCCACACATGAAAAAATCATCAGTATCATACCTAGAAACTACTCATTTAAAACCCCAGATATGTAAGTAGATCAGGAAATGTCGAGGAAGACGCGATTCAGTTTATCCCTTTTATTTCGTTATGGCTTGTGGATTCCTCTGTGCTAGCCCCAGGTGCTTTTGTTTTGCTTGTAACCTTTAAACTGGACCTCAAGAAAGCGATTCTTAGTGCTTAATTCTTGTAGTTGCTCTTTTAAAATCTAGCAATAGCCTGAGTTCCCAGATGTATTTTCTTTCTTTTTTTTATTAATAAAATTTACCTTTTTTAAGAACAGGATTGGATTTCTGTGTGCTAAGAGGTTTGTGCACCTGTTGTTTCATTACTTGGTTGCAGCAGCTGATTTCCTTTGTTTTCTTTCTCAGCTCTTTCCCTGGAGGGGGAGTGAGAGGGTTTGAGGGTACCCCACAGGAAGGAATTCCCAAGTGCTCCTTCCTGGGCTCTCAAAGGGGTTCTGCACTTGGGTGGTGGCAGCATCTACCCATCCAAGGTCAGAGAAAAGCTGTAACCTTGGGAGTTTAATACAAGCCTGGAGTGGCCAGTATTAATTTTTAGAATCCTTGCGGGCCCCCACCTTCTGCACTCGAAGTGCCAGAGTGGGGAATCAGCCTTGACAGGGTTCAACCCCTTTTATCCCATTATACTTTTTTAATGTGGAAGAGACAAGCCGCTGTAGCTCTAATATGGCCATAAGGCACCTGATTTCTGCAGATTGCGCCTTCCTCCCTACCAGCTTGTAACTTTTCTGAACTCCTCCTGTAGTACACTGTTCCCAGGTTTTCTCTTTTCTCTTATATCTGAGGAGATGATGTATCCTCACAGGGCACCATTAAATATTCAGCATTTACTAACAGTTACCATATATTGGTATCTGAAATTATAATTTCTATGGTTTTTCCCTTGATTAAGGAGGTATCCGTTCTATGTGGAAATAGTTGGCAAAAGCTGGCCCTTTAGGGCTTCTACTATATGCATGAATTGTGTAACTGATATCCAAGGCTAAAAAACACAGCCAGGGGCTCTGATGACTTGAAAAGCACAAGGGTGAAAAATGAGTGGTGAGTAATGTCCTGAGAACCCCAGAAGTATTTTAGGATCAACTGAAAAAAAGCTGCATTGGTAAATGCATGTGACCCAAGTGTGACCCCCTTACTTTGACAATGCTGAAGATCCCCACACATACACACCATCCTGGCAGGGACACAGGGTTTTTACACACACACACACACACACTCTCTCTCTCTCTCCCCACCCCGCCCCTTCCTGGCAGGGACACAGGGTTTGCCTCTTCCCAGTGGAAGAGGGTGTGGGGCCTGCCCTCAAACCTGGTGCATTCTAGGGACGCGTGAGAAACCACCAGGTCTATCTATGCTGTGTCCTGCACCAACCCTGGGCCCCCCTAATCTTGGCTCCTGCTGAGCTGCACTACTAGGGACTCCCTTTTGGCTACAGTGGTTTGTGGACCTGCATTACCTTTCCTGGGAAAGGTGGGTGGGCCAAAAGACTCCTTCCCCCACGTGACTCATGGCCTGTATGAGGGTGTTAGGGGCCACAGATCCATGGGGCTTTTAGGAGCTAGAAAATGCCAGCCTGCCACCCAGTGACTAGTTAAGTTGCCAGAACTACAAGCTCAGCACTGACAGAGGACTCCAGTCCTGGGATGTGATAGGAACCCTGGGGATCCTAACTGTGTCCCTGCTTCTATTTAAACCAAGCAGAGGAACAGGAAGGAAGTTGTTTGTGTATGTGGGTTTTTCCTACTTAGGACAGCCTCCCTGCTCCTGCTGCCTGATGATGACCTCCTGGTAACCTGATCCTACCTGCTTCCTGACACCTGCCTTGTCCTCTGGCCTGTCTCAGACTCTGATCTTCTGGTAACCTGACCCTTCCAGTCTCCTGACATCTGACTCATGCTCTGACCACTACACCAGACTGGCCCCATCCCGGTGATGACTGAGGGCCCCTCCAGGTCACAAAAGGGGAAGGAGATGGCTCATGGGTGGCATGATCTGAACTATCATTCTTAATCAAATACGGTTGTGTTCTTAGGATATAGGCATTTAAAGAGACATTTTTAAAGCCTCAGTTAATTAAAACTACAGAAGTGACAGACTTACTGTTCTGCAAATTTCTTATAGGGAACTAGTTTTTGAAAAAAAAAACATGACAGGAAGTTTAACATCTCTCTCAAGTCCTTTATTTCCTAAATCATTATAAAGTCACTTACTAAATGTTAGGAACGGCTGAAAATCCACAAGTCGTATTTTACTAGTGCTACATAAAATAGGGGCCTGAGCCTTAAGTTCTTACGGCATCAAAATAACAACACTTCACTCTCCTATGAATTCTCCCATCTGAGTACCTCCTTGTGGGGAGAATGAAGAACCAGGAAGAAAGTAGCGAGATTTTCAGACAGAATCTAAAGCCATAACCTTGCAAAGAGCTAAGTACTTGAGGATAAACAAAAATAGATCTGTGACTAGGGTTTTTTATTTCAAAAGGGCTAACTTTAAAAAATTAAGGAAATTAGTCAGGGAAGTGGACTGGACTGAGGAACTTGTGGATCTAAAGGCGGAGGAGGCCTGGAATTACTTCAAGTCAAAGTTGCAGAATCTATCAGAAACCTGCATACCAAGAAAGGGGGGAAAATTCATAGGCAGGAGTTGTAGACCAAGCTGGATGAGCAAGCATCTCAGAGAGGTGATTAAGAAAAAGCAGAAACCCTACAACTAGTGGAAGATGGGAGGGATTAGCAAGGAAAGCTATCTTATTGAGGTCAGAACATGTAGGAAAAAAGTCAGAAAGGCCAAAAGTTATGTAGAGTTGGACCTTGCAAAGGGAATTAAAACCAATAGTAAAAGATTCTATAGCCATATAAATAAGAAGAAAACAAAGAAGAAGTGGGATCGCTAAACACTGAGGATGGAGTGGAGGTTAAGGATAATCTAGGCTTGGCCCAATATCTAAACAAATACTTTGCCTCAGTCTTTAATGAGGCTAATGAAGAGCTTAGGGATAATGGTAGCATGACAAATGGGAATGAGGATATGGAGGTAGATATTACCACATCTGAGGTAGAAGCCAAACTCAAACAGCTTACTGGAACTAAATCGGAGGGCCCAAATAACCTGCTCTCCTTCTTTTAGAAGGTAACAGATTTTTTTAGACAAAGGAAACGCAGTGGGTCTAATTTACCTGGATTTCAGTAAGGCATTTGATACAGTTCCACATGGGGAATTATTAGCTAAATTGGAAAAGATGGGGATCAATATGAAAATTGAAAGATGGATAAGGAACTGGTTAAAGGGGAGACTACAATGGGTCACACTGAAATGTGAACTGTCAGGCTGGAAGGAGGTTACTAGTGGAGTTCCTCAGGGATCAGTTTTGGGGCCAATCTTATTTAATCTTTTTATTACTGACCTCGGCACAAAAAGTGGGAGTGTGCTAATAACGTTTGCGGATGACACAAAGCTGGGAGGTATTGCCAATACAGAGAGAGACCGGGATATCATACAGGAAGATCTGGGTGACCTTGTAAACTGGAGTAATAGTAAAAGGATGAAATTAATAGTGAAAAGTGCAAAGTCATGCATTTAGGGATTAATAACAAGAATTTTTGTTATAAACTGGGGACGCATCAGTTGGAAGTAACAGAGGAGGAGAAGGACCTCGGAGTATTGGTTGATCACAGGATAACTATGAGCCGCCTATATGATATTGCCGTGAAAAAAGCTAATGCAGTCTTGGGATGCATCAGGCAAGGTATTTCCAATAGAGATAAGGAGGTGTTAGTACTGTTATACAAGGTACTTGTGAGACCTCACCTGGAATACTGTGTGTAGTTCTGGTCTCCCATGTTTAAGAAGGATGAATTCAAACTGGAACAGGTACAGAGAACGGCTACTAGGATGATCCGAGGAATGGAAAACCTGTCTTATGAAAGGAGACTCAAAGAGCTTGGCTTGTTTAGCCTAACCAAAAGAAGGCTGAGGGGAGATATGATTGCTCTCTATAAATATATCAGAGGGATAAATACCAGGGAGGGAGAGGAATTATTTAAGCTCAGTACCAATGTGTACATAAGAACAAATGGATATAAACTGGCCATCAGGAAGTTTAGACTTGAAATTAGAGGAAGGTTTCTAACCATCAGAGTGAAGTTCTGGAACAGCCTTCCAAGGGGAGCAGTGGGGGCAAAAGACATATCTGGCTTCAAGACTAAGCTTGATAAGTTTATGGAGGGGATGATATGATGGGATAGCCTAATTCTGGCAATTAATTGATCTTCAACTATTAGCAGTAGATGCCCAGCGGCCTGTGATGGGATGTTAGATTGGGTGGGATCTAAGTTACTACAGAGAATTCTTTCCTGGGTGTCTGGCTGGTGAGTCTTGCCCACATGCTCAGGGTTTAGCTCGTCGCCATATTTGGGGTTGGGAAGGAATTTTCCTCCAGGATAGATTATCAGAGGCCCTGGGGGGTTTTTACCTTCCTCTGCAGCATGGGGCACGGGTCACTTGCTGGAGGATTCTCTGCACTGGAAGTCTTTAAACCATGATTTGAGGACTTCAATAGCTCACATAGAGGTTAGGGGTTTGTTACAGGAGTGGGTGGGTGAGATTCTGTGGCCTGCATTGTGCAGGTGGTCAGACTGGACTATCATAATGGTCCCTTCTGACCTTAAAGTCTGATTCTATGAAATTATGTTTAAACTGTTTGCAGATTCAGGACCTGCCACACTCAGAAAATATCTGAAGGATTTAATCACAGGAGAAATGGGGATTGTTTGTGTAGGTCAAGAAGCTGTCAGTTGGAATGAAGGGGTCCAGTTGAGCGATTGAAATATGCTGAGTATCCTGTTGGGAAGATCTCTTGTATCATGGGATAGTCACCCAAATCAAATAAGAGAAGCTCCTCTGTTTGCATCATTTCACAGATTTCAGGACAACGTACAGGAGAACACACGGACAAGTCTTGCACTAGCGCAGAGATTGGCTAGACGACCTCCCAGGTCCGTCTTACATCTCTAATTTATATGAGTTTAATAATAAGCAAAAGGCAGGGGAAGCAAAACAACAGGAGAGGTGATCTATATTCAGAACTGTGCCTACAGAAGATGCTTGTCAAAGTTTGTTCCCTGGCGTATTGATAAGATCTTAAATGAGGGTAAGATTGTCACTTA